AACTTCTTACTGCCAAGTAACACAGATCCACTTACAGAGTACAGTTTCATATTTAGTTAAACCAAAATGAAAATTCTTGGAGGATGTTGATTATCTTCTCCTTTCTTGTAGAATTAAGTGGTATGCAAAGTTCTGGTATAAACTCTTAACTCAGGAATTGTTTTTAGAACATCTTAATACTATGCTAATTGTACATCAAAAATAAAGTAAGTTTTTATTAAGGATTTAGAAAACATATTCAATTTTTGGAAATATGTTGACTTCTGGCTTTCTCTTAAAATGTGGAATGAGAATCACTCTCACCTTCACAAAAATAAAAATAAATTAATCTAAAAAACTCCAACTCCTAGCAAAACCATTAAAAAGCAGGGAGTGTAAGGCAAATTCTAACTTTAAATTCAAGGAAAGGTAAGGGCCTGCAGGGGAAGATGTGAAATGAGCACTCGTTTAGCTGGGTCAATGTAGGACACTGGACACCACACAAACTGGTAAGAACTCAGTTAAGTAAAGTACTAAATTGTTAAGGATGAATGTGGATTGGCACAAAAATTCAGAACTCACCGGGTTTCAAGCTCTTCTCCATGAACCTTACCAGTGGCTCATATGAAAGATTCAAAACAAAGCGTATGTCATGAAAAAATGTTCCTCTTCATGCAGATCTGAAGTAGGGAATAGTGGTCCACAAAAATACAGAACTCAAGATAATTTACACCGGGTTTCAAGCTCTTCTCCATGAACCTTACCAGTGGCTCATATGAAAGATTCGAAACAAAGCATATGTCATGAAAAAATGTTCCTCTTCATGCAGATCTGAAGTAGGGAATAGTGGTCACTGTGGGAAAGGCAAAAAGCCCTGCCTGGATTCTCCTCCTATATCTCTCATACAGAATAAAAATCTATGAATTCTTTAGACACCCCCTCTTTCAAGGAACATGTGAAAAACCATTGCAGCTAGGAAGAGTATAAGATTAAAAACCTCCTATGTTCGGAAAGTGGTACAAAAATTAACTGGACCCGTACGTAAAACCCTCATTGTTGAGGAGAATGCAGGATTATTAAAAAGACTAAAGACTGCATTCATAGACCCATGGAAACAGTGCCTACCTAAATCTTAACCAGAGCATGCTCTTCTATCCCAACCCCAACATCAGGCTAATAAATGTTCACCAATAAATAATAGCATGAAACTGCCAATAGAATAGCAAAAGAAGGACTCTCTCTGAAGTATTGGTAAAAAGGAAATACCTAAATTGAGAGAGAAAACATTGCAAAAATTTAAAAACTTTTAACAAACCAACCTATATTGTATATATAAGCTTAAACTAGAGAAATTTGAGGACTGTAATAACTAGGGTAGCTATGGCAATAACAAAACCCTTGTAACTAGAATTGCAACAAAGAGACAGAATTGACCAGAAGAAATATTTTCATAGGTAGCAATTAAATGATTTCCCAAATTAGATACTAAGCATAGTCTCTGGACCTCGAAGAAAAAGCAAAAAAAAAAAAAATACTGACATAGACACATACTCATACAGATAATCATACACACACACATCAATAATAATATTAGAAAAACTAGACCTAAAAACAAGAAAGTATTACTGTAAGTACTCACCAAACAAAGTATAACAATTCTAAATATATACACACTTAACACCGCAACTTTAAAATACATAAAGCAAAAATAAATAGCATGGAGGAAAAAAAAAAAAGGAAGGATAAATACACAACTATTGTTGTGTACTTCAGCAGTTAGTTCAGTAATCCATAAAAACAAACACAGAGAAAAACCAATAAGGACATAGAGGATCTGAATGGCATATCAACCAAATTGTCTGAATTACACTTACAGAAAACTTCATTCAACAACAGTAGATATGCGGTTACCACAATAGACATCCTTCAAGAGAAATCATATTCTGGGCCATCATACAAAACATAACAAGTTTAAGAGATCTGGAATCATACAGCGAAAGCTATTTACAGTCGAATCTCTCTTTGGCTATCCATTAGGCACCTTGGTAATGAAAACTGTGTAAGTCATGATAGTGATGTTATTCTGGAAATAAGGATTATAGCTTTAGGGGACCAAAAGATGGTGTAATGGTTATATCACTGGACTCCCATGTATTTGACTATGCCTTGAATCCTGGACCAGGCAATTTAAAACTCACGCTGGGCATTTGTGCTTGTGTGCCCAAAATCCCTAGAGGAGACTAGGAGATAAGGAATTATGGTTAGGACATCACCCTGGTGGGTGAGTTCTCACTTTCTGTCTCTCTGTCTCTTCAGCACAAGCATGTGCATCCTGTAACAAAAATCTCTCTCGAAAAAAGAAAGAAAGAAGAGAGAAAAGAAAAGAAAAGAAAAGAAAAGAAAAGAAAAGAAAAGAAAAGAAAAGAAAAGAAAAGAAAAGAAAAAAGAAAAGATTACAGCTTTAGGATCCACATTTACCACCATGTGGTTTGCTAGGCAAAGCTAGGATAAGTTAAAGTTGGTCTCTGAAGAAAGCATTCTCTGTTACAAAATGCATACGTCCCATCTATATGTGGATCCAAAAATGGGTGGTCAACGTTATGTCCATAACTGAGAGCAATCTTTTGGTTCTTCCAATTTTAACACCTATACTACAGAAATGATTGGTCTGTTGGCTTTTCATAGTCTGGCTATGAAAAGGGCTTAGAACATAACATCCATTATTTAGATTCCATTGGCGCATGCAAGAGCTGTCAAGCTATGTTTCAACCATGTTGCTACCCATATTTACTCAGGTTTTTGAACACAACAATTACAACCATCCCAGCTAGCACCATAATCCCATTGATAACAATGGCCTGAAAAATCTGATTTCACGTTTGATCTTTGACCACTGACAGCTTTCAAGTCCCACACCTTCTCTTTCTTCTGTTTTCTCATATCTGGAATAACTTTTTTTTTTTTAAAGGATATCAGTTCCCTTTCTTTGTGCCCCCTGAGTTCAAATAACATAAACCCTGGTACACAGAGAGAAAAATCCTAGCCCTAGATCCACCTCTTAGGCAGAGTCAAAACCAAAGCCAGCATACCATCACTCTCTCCTTGTTCTATTACACTGGTAATACAAATTACACTTGTCTTACTTTACCAAGAATTCTTTACAGGAGAGATAAACTTTCTTTTAAATTTTCTTTGAGAATGTGGCATCGTCATCTACAACATCCAACTCACTAATTTGGTGAGACTCTATGCTGTCTCTATGGGACGACTAAATACATGTTCTTAGATTGTAATGGCATTAATCTAGACATCAATTACAGAGGATGTCTGTAAAAATTATCTAAATATGTAAAAAATTAAGCACACACACACAAAAAACCCCTCAATAATTAAAGTTTTGGCCCAGCAGGTAGTGTGGTGATTAAGGAACTGAAATCCCACATGGCTGACCACAGTTTGAGTACTGAACCTGCTGGCTTGAAAATCATGCCTGGCACAAGTGGATGTATATGTGCCCAAAATCCAAAGAGGAGAATGAAGGAGAAAGGATTGCAGTGTACCCATACCCCTGGAAAATGATTTCACACTCCCTTATCTATGTCTCTGTGGCAAGTGCACATTCCCTGTAGCAAAAACTTAAATAATAATAATTCAAATTTCAAAAGTTACAAGGTAAGCTAGAAAAGATTTTGAATTGGATAAAAATGTAAACATGAAAGGTATTCAAAAAGTTTATGAGAAATGTATATTATGAACAAACTATTCATGGCTTTTAAAATGATTACAATAGAATAAATGCATACATTAATTCTACTTTCCACAAGCATCTTTACTTCCCTTCATACAACATATCAAAAATGTGAGGATGTAGCTAAAGTGATGGCAAGAGGAAGATTTATGACATTAAATACTATATTGGAAAGAAAGCAAGTCCCACATGAATGATCTATGCATCCTTCTTAGAAATTAAAAATAGAGGGACCAGCAGTTAGCGTAATGGCTATGTCGCTGGACTCCCACGTAGTCGACAGCAGCTCACATCTCAGACCCAGTGGCTTAAAACTCATGCCTGGTGCATGTGTGTGCGTGCCCAAGATCCCAAGAGGAGAATGGAGGAGAAGGGATTGTGGCATTGCCATGCGCTCTGAGGGGTGATTTCTCGCTTTCTGTCTCTCTGTCTCTCTCTGTCTGTCTGACGAGCGCACGTGCTCTATAGCAAAAACCTCTAAAAGAAAAAGAAACTAAAAATAGAAAAATGAATTAAGCCAAAAGCAAATAGAATATAATAAAAAAAGAGCAGAAATGAATAAAATGTAGACCAGAAAAACAAATCTATCAAACTAAGGCTGATTCTTTTACAAGTTCAATAAAATGGTAAATGTCTAGTTTGTATGACCAAGGGAGTGGGAAGCAGAAGAAAGGGAAAATACTCAAATAACAAATAGCAAAAATTAATGAAGAGACATCACTACAGACCCTATAGATATTTAAATGTCAAGGAATAGTGTAAGCAACTCTAAATCCATAAATTCAATAACCTAGATACAGTAGACACATATTTTAAAAGTTAAAACTACCAAAATTTACTCAAAGTGATATTTACTTGATGCTCAACAATGTACACTACTATTCTGGAAATTTTACTAAAAATAAAAATTAGATAACACCAAAGAGAAAAATCTCTTATTCACAGTATTATTTTGCTATCACTTTTTAATAAAAGGAATACATATTTATTCTAAATATAACTGCTAAGTCAGAATGATAATATTAGGACGTCATCATTGTCCTATATGCCCCTACAACTTACATGCCCCTTTAAAAAAATCATATGTCTATATTCCATTCAAATAAGATAAATGGGATGTAATTACTATTGTTAGGTATAGATCATTTTTCCTCTTGGATCATTTATTTCTATTTTATTTCCAAGCCTGATTTTTAAAAAGTAAATTGATACTTTTGTGAAAACTAGAAGTCTTGTGGATCTTTTATGGTCATAAAAGTTTGGAAATTCTTACCTAAATATGTCTAGATATGAACTTCTTTTGCATTTTTGTTTGCCTAAAGGATGAAAAAAAATAATTTTCAAAGGAAATTCTTTCATTAGGGGAAGAAAAATTTTTATTTGTGCAATTTCATTTTTGTTTGCTTAATATCCTTTTATCTCTAGTCAAAAAATGAGAAGATAATGATGACTGAGAAGTTTTCTGTAGCTTGTTTCCTGTTATTCACTCATTTCATTGTATATTTAAATCTCCATATAATACACTTACAGCAATTTTTAGAAAGCTCTCACTAATGGTTCTTCTTTTAATGAAAACAATTTAAAATCCTGGAATATGATGTGGATAAAATATTCATGTAATCGGCTCACATTGAATCAAATAAACTAATACAATGGCTGACCTTAAGTGATTCTTGTTCTGCTTTGCTTTCGTTGTCATTGTTTTTCATTTTTATTTTAAGTGTAGAAAACTTCTTTAGGAATTGTTAGAATCATTTACTATTTAAATAACAGACTATTAAACACTTATAAATTAATTCTGGGTTTTGGTATTTTTGTATTGAAAGTTATATTGATATCAAGACCCAAGATATATTCCAAACAGGTCATGAAGTCTAATTAACCTTTTCTCACATTCAACTACTTTAAGTTACATGAACTTGACTCTGTCCTCTAAATATAACAATACAATTTTGGCATCTCATTAATAAACATGACAGCATTTATTAACACTGCCATGTAACTAAAGTAAAACTTCATCAATTCAAATCTCAAGGAACCAGAAGTAATCAAGCTAGAACTAAACAGGAACAAATTATCTGACATCATATTTTAGTGACAGGAGTGCTGAGAGCTAAACAACTTGCTGTTTCCTGTCAAACACTCTTGATTACTTGTCAGTGTGGAAAAAGTTGGTAGAGTATGGAATGAAAGGTTAATTTACTTACACTAATATAACCTCTCTCTCTCCCTTCTTCTGAAAAAAATAGGAAGGTCATTAACTGAAGTTTTATAAATCAATTTCTATGAATTCAGGACTCATGGGATTATGGACTTTACATTACAAATATAGTAGTATTTGAGGTTTTCTGTGCCAAAACATTTTATATTAGATTATTATTTTTATCTGACAACACCATCATTAAATGTATAATGACAAAAAAGTATGCATTTTTTGTTAGTTTTATGTCAGAATTCTAAAACCAACTATTTACTTACTCATTGGTCATTCATTTATTCATTCATAAAATATCTTTCCATTTCTGCTTTCTTCCTTCTGTTTCTTTATTCCTTTGCAAATAAAATATTAAAATGTTTTTTAGTGCAAGGTAATAGTAAGGTATATACTACTCTTTTATTTTGGGGTAATTATGTATCTTTATTTGAAAAACTAGCACACTATTTGCTCATCTGTATTGATGGTGGACATTAATACTGAGTATTTAGGCAACAGAATTTTTTTTAAAAAAGCAGTTGATATTTAATACACTGTTTACACATAATCACATTTAAATTTCACAATTCTTTTAAAAAGGTAGTTTCAATCCAATTATAGGAATATAAGGCTCCCAGAAAAATACAGCTGGTGTTAAACATCAACATTTTTCTCCACTTCTTTTGAAGTCCAACTATTATTTCTTAATACCACACAATTACAATGTTCATGTATGTAGAGATAATAGGATAAAGAATGATATACTCTTTTTCCAACTTTGCTATTCATTGATTGTTGTTCTTGCTCTTTGTATTGATCTTAAAATGGAATACAAATGCTTTTTTTTCCTTTCATGCCCTTCCTTCCTCTTTTCCTCTTTCTTCTTTCCTCCTTCCCTCCCTTGTTTCTTCCCTCTTTCTTTGTATCGTAAGTAGACATATGTTTAAATGAGTGATTACTTAAGTAAACCATTATCAAATTAGCAAGTGTACTCTCTTGTCTGGGCTATGTAAAATAAAATTTAGCAAAATGAGTACTATAAATTTTGGATGGACATATGTTCTTTCATATTTAATGATTTTTAGTGCAAAGAAACACTTTTAAAATCTGCCTTGAGTTATCTAAACTTTAGATGAGCAGGTCGGTCCATAAGTATCAGTTATATTTTTAGAAATAAGAGAAAATTACTCATCAGAGCCTCTAAACAGCATATGTTCTTTCCTTTCTATTAACTATAGACAAATACCAAGCTTAACTGTAAACTTTGTTTGGCTGTGAAGACAAAATACGGGTACAAATATTTGAAATGATGCCAATCTCATTCTACCCTCAATTTAGAAAACAGAACAAACTAGTGCTTTCAGGGATTAAACTACTGATTTTCTACCGAGACTTCACTCCCAAAGCCCATCTACAATTGGGTAGGGCCTCCCCTTTATCCTCTCTGTCTCTGTCTTTTCATTTCATTAATTTTTTTTTTTAATTTAAGGTAAAGTATTTTCTTGGCTTTCAGAACCTCCTGTCTCTTGCTAATTCTTGCCTTTTATCCCATCCATCTAGGAGATGTAAAAACTCCACTGGAGTTGGAACTACTGCTTTCATGTGGCACACGAGCATGCTGCAAGATTTTCATGTTTTTAGAAAAAAAAATTGTTTTTGTGAGTTGTCTTTTCTTTTCTCTATCTCTCTCTTTTCTTTCCCTTTTTCTTTTACCTTCACCATTTTGCTTGTCATTTTTCACACACTGAGTGTTTAGACAGGTCTAAGTGAACTGAAGTCAAGCACCTGAATGCTATGAGGGTCCCACTGAATCTGCCACACAGAGGAACAAAAATGAAATGGCAGTGAGTTCACAGATCACCTCCTAATGCACTTCTCTGAACACTCAGATTGAACTTCTAGAAATTAAGAAGAAATTTATAACGCAGTAAATAACCAGAAATCACCACAGAGGCAAAAGAAATATGAGAAAGCAAGAAAATACCTCTCCCCCAAGAGAAAAGAATAATTTCCCTTCAACCACAGACAGTCCAATGGAACTCATGGAAATTTATGATAAATAATTTAGAATATTCACAGTGACAAAGTTAACAGAGATGCAAGAGAAGAGAGACAAGGAATTCCAGAAGATGCAGGAGAAAAGAACTGATGGATTCCAGGAAGTGAGGAAGTTCTTACATGATCTGAAAGAGGAAATATTCAACATAAAAAAATAATCAAATGGAATTGATAGAGATGAAGGCTTCAATACAGAAAATCAAATCCTCCCTCGAAAGTATTAAAAGCAGATTAGATCATGCAGAAGACTGAATCTGAGATGTAGAAGACAGAATTCCTGGACTAGAAAAATATACCACAAAGACTGAGAAAATATAGCTCAAAATTTGAGGATAATATACAAGAAATAGTAGATACTATTAAATGTCCAAACATCCGGATAATTGGTAACTCAGATAGTGATGAGACCAATAAGGGTATTGATAAGCTATCCCATGAAATCCTGGAAGAAAATTTTCCAAACCTAGAGAGGCATTCAAATATCCAGAAATACAAAGAACTCCAAATAGAACCAACTCAAAAAGATCTTCCTAAGACACATTATAGACAGATTGACTAAAACCACAGACTAAGGGAAGATATTAAGATTGACAAGAGAGAAATTTCAAGATACCTGCAAAAGATATCCCAACAATCTAACTTATTAGTATTTATTCCAGAATTTAATATTGTCTTCCACAACTTAAATGAAAAGATCAGACCACAACAGAAGATAAAGTACATGAGACTGAACTAGTGAAATAGAATTTTATAACTTCTGACTAAAACATTACTGACTTTCTTAAAAGCTTTGTTTTCCAGATTTGAGGATTTTTGTCTTTTCTTGAGCTTCCAATAGACTCATGTACCTACTATTTGAACAGAATGCCTAACCTGTTTCTTGGCTTTAAATCTTAAGCAAAGTACTTTTAACATTTTTTTAAATTTTGACTTTTTAAAGTTAAAACTGCCTTTCTGGAAATTAAAATAAATTTAAAAATACCTGTTTAATGACCGCAGTAAGCTATATAGCCTCAGTGAGGTACTACTTTAGAGTATATCCATTCTACTCACAGAGGTTCAGGCCTAAGGTCAGACTGTGTTTACAGACATCTATATATCAGCTGAATTTGCTGTTGAAAGTAGTTAGTTTAATAAAGATATTTTGTGAATTGGGAAAATGTAGGCAATAAAAAGGAAAGAAAAGTAACTGTAGTTGCCAGAGATAGTGTGGGATCTGGGTGAAAAATGCAGAGGGTGAGAAATAGGTAGAATATGTATATATATATATAAAATTTAAGAAACAAGAAATGGAAAATTATTGTGGGTGGAAAATCACATTTTGTATACTGTAATGATGTTCAGTGAATGAATGTAAAATAAATAAATTTAAAATTTAAAAAATGGACAAAAAAATGAAAATAATAAAAGTCCTATAACAGGAAAAAAAGAAAATATAACTAATATCATTTGTTGAAATTGAGGAACTAGGGGGTGAATTAGTATCAAAATCCTTTTCTCAGCATCTAAGAAAAATATATTTATAAATTAGATTTTTTTCTTACCAATTGCGGAGAATAATTGTTAACTCTATCTTATTCACAATGGATACCGAATGTGTATTTTTTTTGGCTTTGTCTGTTTTTACTTTTGTTTTGTAGATTTTTTTTCTCTCAACTTAAATTTGAGTCCAGTTCTGTTTCATTTTTGACATTGAATCTTATATATTGTCTTCACTTAGCTATCATTTATTTTGAGTTAACCAATTTCCCCTTTTCCTTGTTTATTTGTGGTTATTTACTCACTCCTTCTTTTATTCATGGAAAAGACATTCTCAAACCCATTTGTTCTCCCTTTTATTCATTTATGAAAATTATTCTGGACACTCATACATCTTCCAGTCTTAATGAGATGCAAGGATAGTGAAAAACATTTTTGTTCAAGAGGAGATGAGGGAAAAAATTAAAAGTCAATGTTTAAGTCAAGTGTAAAAATTCTTGTAAGAAGACCAGCTGATGGTATAATGGTTACATTGCTGGACTCCCACGGAGTTGACTGTGGTTTGAGTACTGGACCGGGTGGCTTAAAAATCATGCCAGGCAGATGTGTGTGCCCTAGATACTGAGAGTAGGAAGGAGGAGATGGAATTGCAGCCTGGCCATCTCCCTTGGGGATGATTTCTCACTTTCAAACTCTCTGTCTCTGTCTCTCCAGTGAGCACATGAACCTATAGCAAAAATCTCTTTTAAAAATAATTCTTGAGGGACCAGCAGGTGGCGTGGTGATTAAGGCACTGGACACTCCCACATGGCTAACTAGGGTTCAAGTCCTGAATCTGGTGGCTTGCTTTCTCACTTCCTCTCTCTCTCACTCTCAACCTCTGTCTCTCTCTGGTCAAAATTTAAATAAATAAATAAATTTTAAAAATGAAATAATTATTAAAAATAATAATAATAATTAATGTAAGAGAAGTAAATTATAAATGTTATGTAGGAATAGTAGATATTCCACCAAACTCAAGAGGGATAGAAAGAAGTGATTTTTCACAGAGGTACAGATATTAGAATGGAACAATATAGGACAAATGGAAGTTTTCCAGGGAAACAAGGGAAAGAAGAACATCCATGACAAAGTTACCAGAATTCTTCAATCTAATGTCATGAAACGCTGAAAGATGCCAAACATTGACGGTATAATAGAAGATGAAATCAGAAAAGCTGGAATGCTGGCTACTCAAACTACCCTTTTTCTTCATCCATTAGTCAACCTTCTTTGGCCTGCCTGTAGCCCAAAAATCCACCAAGTTCAGATGTAAACCAAGACTATTTCTCCACACTTATTTACCATTTTGTTTCTTTGGGTTTATAAAAAAGCTGGCCCTGTCAGAAGAGAAGAAGGTTGAAGGGGAGAAGAGACTGTGCTTTACTTCTGCACACCCTTCCTAACTTTATGCAGATGATCAGGGAGAAGCTATGTCCCTCCACGACTGCAAAAAGATGCCCATTTTACATACTCAAGATCCCCACTACGTGCTCTTTCTTTCATGTTTCAGTTATTACAGTTATCTACTTGGATGAGGGGAAGTCAGAAAGTTCATGAAAGAACTAGACAGTGATACAGTAGTAAAAAACATGAGGTAACCAGAACATTTGAAGCAATCTCACATGAGAAGTTTACTGGTTCAAGTCCAGAGACCTCCCTGAGTATGCTGGTCTCTTACTTCCCCATGATCCTGAGCTGGCTGAAGGTTGGGGCTGGATTACTGCCTGAGACCCTGT